CCCCCCACATCAACACCCAAACACACAGAAAATGAAGCATCTTGCACGATGGCTTACATGTGTAGCTGGAACTCAAGGTGAATACCAATTGTCTGCCAGTACTTTTTCCCATTGTACTTAGGTACATTTCATTTGCGTGTGCAGTGTTAATCCGCAAAAATCGGTAGACTGCGGCTGCCATATCCAGATATATACATACATAAGCATATACGCTTTGGTCTTATGCATTGTTCTAATGCGTGCTTAAAGCGCATTTCCAGCATTTCAAACTCGTCTGCACGCACGAGTGCCCACAGTTGTGGTCACATAAATGCTGTCAAATCAGAGTTAACCATTTCCTAATACACATTTCAGTCAAACAATTATGACTACCAACTTGGGAACTAATATGTATCAGACAATAAATGCATAAGCATTTTATGAACAAATTACTTGTAAAATATTTAAATATACAGTGATTAAATATCAGATAAAGACAAAAAGTGGTTTAAATTAAATTTTGCTGACATCTTCATTTGGGAAAAATGTGTACATTAAAGCTGTCGGGCTCTACTCATGATTTTATTTTTTTTTAATTATTTAAAGATGGATTTTAATTACATATCCGTTTTATTGAGTTAAAGCTGTCGGACCCTTCTAATGCACATACATTAAAATAAAATAGTAAACCACAAAAACCAACTATCAGAAATGGTTTAATAATTTGAAACGAGTTTTCTTATCTTAAATGCTAGAAATGTAATTGAATGGTATGGTAGAGAAAGCATTGAAATAATCTCGATAAATGCGACCACTTCTGTGGCTTTCGTATGTGAATGCCGCGCCCAAATACAGGAACAAAGCACAAAGCGCCACTCGACAAATGCGCTGTAATTTGAGGCGACAAGTATGCAACGCAAGTTTTAAATGCATTTCACGCACTGCGGCTGACGTACCACTCATTCCCCCCGCTCAAATGATCCCCTCCATAGTCCCCACTAATTCTGGTAAATCCATGAAAAGTCCGACATTTCTGTCACGCCCGAAAGTGTCGTCAAGTGATGGCTGTCGCCGCCAGCCAGGGCCCACTGTGGCACACACAAAAAAAGTAGTTTATTACATTTTTCGTATCCTCTTAATTTTAAATAATGGTAAATCATGATAAACCAGGATATATGGTTAAACAAAAAACAAACGAAATATGGTTAAACAAAAAACGTACACTAAAATAAAGGTTATATTAGAAAATGTTTTTAAAAAAGAAAGAAACCTTTAATTATTTAAATTAATAAATAAATACTAAGAAATTAATAATAAGAAAAATATTTTGTTTAATTAAAAAGATCCTGATCAAGAAACGTTTTTAGAAGAAATAGCCGGAGCTCAAGTCTCAGTGTTTTCTTTCTGTGTAGATGGCGTGGCCGCGGAGTTAGGTTGGAGTTTGACCATCATGATAGTGCACTCGAATGGATTCACAAAGCACGCAGATTTCAATTACACAGCTACGCACGAGTGTCCTTTATTTCACCTTTTTTTATGGCCTCGCTTATCGGGCAAAATGGTGCAGCAATTAGAGCCGACTGATTTATCTAATTGGGAGCAGGAAGGGAGAAGACCGGAAGTGGACACGAGACCACGCGACTTCTTGATAAGTAAAATCACGCAATTTGGCAAATGATTTACCTGACTTTCGTCAAAGAATCGAGACACGCACACGCATTGTTCTTTCATTCTGATTGAATTAAAATTAAATTATTAATAATGTGATTTGCCAAGATAAGGAATTTCACAAACATCACATTTTAAAGTACTAAATAATAAAATTTTTTTGTAAAGAAAACATCTCTTGAAGAATCTTTACTATCGGACTATTTTGTTTAAGACAAACGACAAAGTCTTGTGCAAAATATGCATATAGTTATATGAAATTTGAATATTTCAGAATTCTGAAAAGTATGCAAAACTTTGTCTCAGAATTTAAGACTGATTTGCATACCCAGTCGCACCGCAAAAAGTCAACATTTACAAGTTCTTCACACCATGTGCACGAGCATAAGAATATTAAAATCGCATTTTGCTTGAGGTGTTCGCTTTATAAAGCCATTACGAACTATCCGGGGGACGGGGAACGGGGGGACGAAGGCAAAAGGGGAGGTTGAGGGTGGAGATGGTGTTCTGCAAAGTCCGCATGTGTCGGGCCGGCATTTTAACACTTTAATCATTGAAATGCAAATTCAGATCCGAGTTTCAGCAAGACATGCGTCAGCCAGTAGCACTTGTATGTTAACACGGCCACCGAATGCCACGCCCCTGAATTCTGGAGAGGACAGCTCAGGATTCTGGCTGGGATTTAGCATATTTAAGGCCCAATCTACACAGAAAGAAATATGTATACGAATCTGAAGTAGGTTTTTTTTACAATTTTTAATGAATTCATGGCGGTTAACATTAATTTTTCTTGAACTTAGGCTTTTTTTTATTTGAAAATCTGGCCTCTATTTTGGTTGGAATTTAATTTTGGGGCGACTCTTTTGTATTACGAAAAACAGTTTTTTTTCTGTGGAGGGCAGCGCATTTAGAATTCAGCCTACTCCACACAACTGAGTTCCTTTTCGGCTCCGAAAATAATGAAAATGCAGGACCTGGCAACGAATAAATTAACCTGAATCGCATTTATATTCGAAAGTAGTGGCGCGATGCTGCTGCTGCTCAAACCTGAATTTCGCGCGGAATGCTTTCTTTATTGCACGTAAATAAAGTCATAAAGTCATCATTACAACCGCGCCAACAAGGAGCACGATACGAAACGATAAAGGAGCACAAAGGACAAACTTTTGTGACTGCGATAAAAATTCGCAAATGTGCACAAATTACTCAAAACATATTAAAAACTGCGTCTCCGCCTCAACAACTTGCGCAAAACGTTGCACACAAATTAAAAACTCTTCGAAAGAGCAGAGATAAAAGGAAATTCCTTTGTGGCAAGTTTTGCCGCCGACCTGAAGTTGCGTTCATTGTCGCAGGAAAATGCAGTACAACTTTTCCCAACTGAAAATCATTGAGTGTTACTAGATGACTGGAAGTTTCCTTTTTCGACACGACATATGAAAAGTTTCGTAATTCAGTTGGTAAAGTCATCTTTGAATTTGGCGGTGAATTTTTTTTTGTTCTTCTACTAAAAATGGGTAAAAAACTTCTTAAAAATCATACTCATTAATACTAAATATCAGGCTTAAAAGGTAACCAATAATTTAACGCAAATTAAGTAATTTTTATAACAAAATTTAATCAACAATTTTACAGGTCCAAATTAAACAGTAACCTGTGAGTACAGTTTTGGGTTACCTTTTTGCCAGACTCAAAAATCGAAATTCTTTTTTGAAATTAATTTAAGGAATAACTTTTTGTAATCTTTAAGGTCTAAATATACATAGTGTTTTGGTTGCCTGAGTGTGGATTTCCACTGCAGCACTGGGTCGGAATACCCTTTTTGAGGGTTGTTTTGATCGATTTGGTATTCTCAAGCTAGCTGAATATGGTCCCATTTGTTTTTTAGCCTCCAACTTTTGTTTAATTAAATTGAAGTTCTTATCGAAGGAGTATGAAAACCGGCGAAAAATGGAGGAGGAGACAGAGACTGCATTTGAACGACACCAAGCTATCATTCCCCAGGTGAAGAAGGCCTATGACGAAGTCATTCAACAGATATTTGCGGACTTGAGGTAAGGCGAAGATATGCATCCCAGTCAAGGAAGAGATGACATCTAAGTACATATTTGTTTAGTCCTTCAGATCTGGATGTTTGTGCAGCCATTTTGGAGGAAAAGGAGGATACTTGCTTGGACACCGAACAGATGATAAATAGCACCCGTCGGCTCATGACCAAGATCGTCCTTGATGTGAATCAATGCTTCTTTACCGGCAACGATGTGAAGACCAAGCTGACCACTTTGGAGATGCTGAAGGAACAGTTTGCTGCTCACGAGGGAAAGGATTGGTTGGTATTATAGCTAGTAAATAGCTTATAGACCCGGAACAACTTTATGTTTTACTATTGAACCCTCAGGAACTTCAACGGTGTGTCCCCAGAAGAACTCACTCGCCCGTTGCGCATGCACAGTTTGGCTCTGAGCATTCGCTTTATGGAGCGCCAACTGAAGTCCCAGGAAAAGGAACTTGAGGTATTACTACCCTTTGATTTTTGCTATCTGAGAAACACTAAGAACTAAAAATAAACGAATTTTTTAAATTTTTATTGCAGATTGCTATGGCCAAAAGCAATGCGAATCGACAGCTTGTACGCGATGTGCAGAGCGAACGAGTGAAACTGGGCGTCATAATACAAGAGCAGCTGGCTCAGTATCAGGAAATGATGCCACAATTAATCGACATAGAGCGTTCCATAAATGAGATTTGATTTAATCTTAAAATAAAACTATTTATGTTATGATTATCTAATAAATAATACGTTTGAATCAATTACAAATGTATGAATAGAATGGAAAATGTATTAAATACAATATGTACAATATTGTAGATATATATATAATTTTTTTTTAAGTACTAAAAATGCTTGACTTTAATTTAATTAGACACTAGTTAGAATTAAAGTTATGGAAATAAACATACTAGACACCTTTTCCTAAAATTTAATAATTTTTATAAATGCTAAAACTAGTGCCTCTTAAAATGTACTTTAACTTTAATATGTATTACGGTTATTTATCAAAAGTATAATATATAAATGTGCCTTTAACAAAAAACATTTGTCAAACATCCCGCCACATAGGCAGCACTTTAGAAAAGGTATTTTCCAGCACTTAACTCCGGAGCTGATTTCCTCGCCGGCAAACAAAATAAAACTAATCCGAAAACTAGAGAATGATATCAATAGTGAAAAAAGTGTCTCCTAAATGGGATTTCAATACTTGTACGCACTTAAATCTTTTATAAAAATGTAATAAAAACATTTTTTATACTTTCTGGCACATTGGCAGCACTTTCCCAAATGCGTTTTGCAGCACTTAACCCCACAGCTGATTTCCTCGCCGGCAAATGGAATAAAAACATTGAATAATCCGGAAACCGAAAGAATGCTGAACTTATCCGTGGTGCTGCGGGTGCAATCTACGGCAATCCGACGGACTGCATCCTTCGCTACAGCGGCGGCGGTCAAGACCAAACCGAAACCGAAACCCACAAAGGGTCAGCCCAAAAAGCAGAAGGAGCAGCCCCTAATCTCCTGCAAAAGAAGCCAGTTCAATTTAACCCAGCACGAGCAGGAGGATGCCAAATTTGGAAGCCTTACTCTGGCCTCCAAGGGCTGGTTGCACAACAAATCCAAGGGAGATTACTTTATCCTGAATGCCAGTGTGCGAGGGGAACAACTTCATCATGAAATGCAGCCAGTTGATGGGTTTCTGGACTCCTCTGGGCTGCAGATTCATCCCCAACTGCTGGACAATCTTCGAGATGAACTGGGCATAAAGCTGCTGACGGGCATCCAAAAGCAGGGAATGCCAATTGTCCATGGGAAGGAACACTGTCTGATAGCTGCGGAAACTGGATGTGGAAAGACAGTTACATATCTACTGCCCATCCTGAACAAGCTCCTCCAAAGAGTGGGTGCCGATAGGAAACTCAACTCTCCCCGAACACTGATCCTCACTCCGGGCAGGGAGCTGGCCACCCAGATAGCCGGTGTCGCAGAGAAGCTCAGTCAGGGCACCAATCTCAAGGTGCAATCCCTGCTAGGAGGCAACACCAAGCAGCTGATGTTGAGTCCGCAGTTCGAGGAGTTGGATATTCTAGTGGCCACTTTGGGTGCCCTCAGCAAACTGGTCACCACTGGCATCTATCGCATGGAGCACGTTCGCCATCTGGTTCTCGATGAAGCGGATACCCTTCTAGATGACACGTTCACGGATAAGCTGACCTACTTCCTGAGGAGATTTCCCGTGAGTCTTGCTTGAGTGGGTTCCCCAAGAAGAGTTAGTAGTTTTTCTTTATCCTTGACAATAGTTCCATTTGGTGCAAAAGGAGGAGACTGGCACCCAGCTAATCCTGGCCTCGGCCACCATGCCCACCAACACCAGGGAGATCCTGCACAAAGTCATTGATGTGGACACCATTAGGGAGGTAGTGAGTCCGCATCTCCACCACCTGATGCCCCATGTGACCCAGAAGTTCCTGCGCATGTCCAAGGCCGATCGGCCAGCCCATCTGCTCACGCTTGTCAAGCAAGATCTTTCAAAGCGACGACCACTGATTGTGTTCAGCAACAAGTCCACCACAAGTGACTATGTTTCCATCTTCCTGAACAACAGTGGAGTGAATTGCCTCAATCTCAACGGAGACATGCTGATGAAGATCAGACTGGGCCGTTTCGAGCAGTTCCAGAACGGCCACTGCGACGTCCTCTCCACCACAGATGTGGGAAGTCGCGGTCTGGACACCACCAGAGCGCGGCATGTGCTCAACTTTGACTTTCCGCTCCATGTCTCCGATTACATCCATCGGTGCGGCAGGATTGGGCGAGTGGGCAACAACTTGGACAATGCACTGGTCACAAACTTCATATCCTCACGCCGCGAAATCGACGTCGTCCAGAGGATCGAACATGCCGCGCGAACCGGTGGCCTGCTGCCAAATGTGAATGCCAACATCAGGAACATTATCAACAAGCGAATTGTGGCTGAGATGAAGGCGGCAGGAGTTCCAGTTCCGGTTTTGGGGCCAACCAATGGTCATCAAGCACAAGAAGAGGCCTTCTAGTCTTGTAGTTTTAAGTTTTGCGAGTAAATAGTTTTGTTTTCACTATGATAAACCACTGTGCTCCTTTTATGTATCAATGGGTTTTATGTTATGTTTTTTGAGAAGGGGCTGTAGTTGATAAAAACTAATATTTACTCACCCCAGCGCACATCAACGTTGAAAGTAAAAGTATAGTTTTATTGAGATCCCCAAATAATTCTCCTTCACAACCCTTAGGTTCAAATCCTCAGGTAGTGGTAGCCGCTAATGGGCGACCATCTTCGCACGTTCGTCAGCGGCTTAAAAAGCTTTCGCTTGGCTATGAGAATATCGGAGCTGGCACCACCACCAGCCCCACCATTCGCTGTGGACGCGGGCGAGTCCACGGAATGCGGCAGATTGGAAACCTTGGGCTTTAGCAGCATCGGTCGACAGCCGGCGAACTTGAAGCGGATGTGTCCGGCGCAATTAAGCTGCAGATTCGGTGGCTGGAGGTGGGGGAATGCCTCGCACAGAGTGGGCTTTGGCTTGAGCGCCTTGCTGGGATCATCGCCATGGCACATGGCTGCCGCCAGGGTGCTCCATTCCAGTCGACGCACTCCTGGTACTGATTCTATTCTATAAGCCGGTGGCTTGACTCGTACGTACCGCCTGCTCACCATCTTTTCGTAGGTTCCTGTAATATAGTACTTGTACCAGTTACTAAGAAAGTTTTTCGAAGTTTTACTTGGCAAAACTTACGCGCATAGTGCACCAGAAAGGGTTGCAGAGCGGCACCGCATCCATGCTCCAGCCACTCGTACAGATATGTGTCATCCTGTCCGCCCAGGAAGATGGCAGCCGGTGCCAGATCCTGCCACAAACTGTCTGGAATTTCCTCCACGCGTAGTTTGTAGATGTAGGGTATAAACTCTCGAAAGGCATACTCCCCCAAAGCGATTAGACCGCGTACCGCTCTGCTGATGTACTTAAAGTCTGGATAAGAAGGTTTTACAGATTAAACTTTAAATTAAAAGCTGTTTGTGAACATGTACCCCTCTCACTGCAGATAATGCGTCCCTCAAAGAACCTCGCCAAACGTCGTTTGATGAGGAAGAGGCACTCTGCCTGCAGATAACCACTCTGGGAGGCAAGCTGACCCATTGTTTCGCACAGTTCATCGACGAGGAGATTACCCACTGGAGTGGCAAAGTAGGTGGACAGGTGTTCCTGTGTCTCCGTTTGGGGATTACCCTCCTCCGCCTCCTCCTCCTCCGTTTGCAGCCTGTATATGGTGTGCTCCTGCAGTGTATTTTCACTGGGAAACATCTGGGGCTCCTGCTCCTGCTTGCCCACCTCCATGACAACGGGATTATCAGCGGGATTGGGCAACTGTTCTGGCTGCTCTTCAAACTCCATTTTGATGGTGGCCTGCTCAGCGGAGTCTGTAGCCTCTGGTGGTGCTGGTCTGATGGTTTCGTAGGGAGCCATCAGTTGGCTGACGAGCACCTCGGCCAGGTTGAAATACTCCGGCCGACAGGCATTGTGATTGGCCGTGGAGTTGTAGTTACAGGCACGTAGCAAGCGCCAGCAACGCTGGCTCAACTGGTCCTGCTGCTTGAAGGCCAGCAGCTGTACGATCTTGCTCACTATAACCCGGTAAATGGAGCCCATGAGGGGCGTTTGGTAGGCATGGCAGATGGCAGCCATCTGGGATTTGGTGTCTGCGAAAAGGGCAGCCGTAATCAGACTCTGAACACACTGCCGCAATAGATCCGTGTGCTTATCTTCCACGGGGCAGATGCTCTGAAAGTCCGCATCATCGGGTGTGCAGAGATTGATTTCCTTTTGAAACTCGGCACTCAGTTCAAAGATCTTGTCGGAGTGGAAGTAAAAGCTGCCATCGTAGTCGATGCGGTCCCAATCGGTGTCCATGGCGCCCAGCATGGGTGGCACATCGGCATCCTTGAGCACCTCATTAACCAGATCATAGGTAACCACTCCACCCGAATGGCGGGAATATATCTTCACGTTCTAATGGGAAAATCAATAAATACAAATGTTAATGGGTAACATATTTGCCATACATTGATCAGTTCCCAGATTTTGTAGGAGGCATCCTCGGCCAGTTTGGCGCACACATCTTGTGATAGTTCTACATCCGTTTGGTCGTGCTGCTCCCAAAATATCTTAATGCTCCGCGGATCAAAGCCGGCATAGCTCTTCTGATGGCCCTTCAGTAAAAAAAGGGGTATTATAACCAGGGAAGGCCCTTGGAGTATCCTCTCACCATTCGACTGGAGTTTCCAGAGGCCTCTGCTCCTGCAATTCCTCCTTGGAGTCCATGGCCACCACCGCCACCTCCGGCCACCGCAAATGAGGCATCAAATAGATTGTAGTTACCCAAACTCGAAGTTGGCGTTGTGGGCGTCGTGACCATATTAAGGTGGGTGGGCGTGGCTGGCAGGCTGCCCACTGCGGATGCGGAAGTGGCAGATGCGGATGCGGATGCGGATAGGGAATTCTTACCAGCCAACTCCAATTTGGCTGACTTGGAGCGGGATTTTGTGGACTTTTTGGTGACTTTACTGTGCGTTGACTTGTTCAACTCGTCGGAATTGCCAACGCCCGAGGTTTTCATCGTTTTATATATATATTTAACAAAAACAAACAAAAACAAAACAAATTTCGAAAGATTAGCATCCAGTGTTGTGAAACGACGTTCCAATGATGCCCTGCACACTCGGCTTTTTTCAAGCCGAAATAAATGTTTATAGTTTTTCTCCCGCTGTTTTATCGATAAGAAAATCCTTACAACAAAACAACTGCTTTTATTTAATTTAGCCAGAGGTTTTTAATAAATTTAAGAGCCTGGAGCGGCATAAAAAACTAATTTCGCCCGTATACGTTTTTGTGTAGTATTCGTACAATTCCTCTTTTAAGCCAAAAGAGTATTTCTAGCTTTTTTCGCTTATTGTATTTACGTTTTCAACAATCGATAGCCCCAAGGACTGATAAGAAATTACTTGACGCGCTTTACAACACAGACCAAACAACTGTTTTTATTTTATTTACCCAGAGTTATTTTAATGAATTTAAACAAAAATAATGGCAGAAGCCGCTAATGTGCGCCAGAACCTGCAGAATGTGCCCTCGATATTTGAAATATCGGCGGCGGAGACACTGGACAACCTAATTTACCCGGCTCTCAGCAAGATCTTCGACTACTTTGGTTTGCGGCTGGACTTTAAACTTTGGGGAAGTTTGCGGATTCAAGAGGAGCTATCACCATTGTTGACCTGGCTGCTGCAGTACTTGTATCTCCGGAAAAGAGCATCCTCGTTTGGCGAGAGCTTCTACGGACTGCAACGGACGGTTACGGAAACTGGGGATTTGCTGAGCCGCCGGCAGCAATTCACATCCGCCACATTGTTGACCTTCATTCCTTACCTGGAACGAAAGTTGAAGAGCAGAATAGCCCGCCATGAGGACACAAATCCCTGGGAGCAGCGACTGCTCAGTGCCTTCCATGCTTTTCATGCCGCCAAGGCGGCGCACACATTCCTTTACCTGATCAAATACGCTTCAAGTCATTCGCCCATCTTCAAATCGTTGGGTCTGACCCTCCGCTATCCCAGTGAGCCTCCCAAGGAAGATCAATGGACCTATCTCGTCCTCAAAATGCTAGAGGTCTTGGCCTTTTTCCTGCAGTTCGTGCAATGGTGGTACTCCACGGATCAGCGACGCAAAGTCGGAGGCACCCTGCTCAATCCGGAGGCCATGCCCAGGAAGGAGCTACCCCCGGAAGTCGAGAAGACTCTGCCCAAACGAGGCGAATGCCCAGTTTGCTTGCTGCCCATCCAGACACCCACTGCCTGCTCCGTTTCTGGGTTCGTATTCTGCTGGAAGTGCATCGTTAGCCACATGAAGGAGCATGGATGTTGCCCGGTCACCCAGTATCCTATTAGTCTGGACGATCTAGTTCGCATTTACGAAACATAACCCTAAGTATTTTGTTGTCTTTTACACGATTTTGTTAATACATTCAATAAGAAAATTACGTGTTTAGATTTCACTGAGGTAAAAGCCCATTCGCTGATCGTAGCATATATAGACGTGGTAGAAGTCGAAATAAGCCAGGCATAGATACAAACAGAAGCACTCGCTCGAGACAAACTCCCCAAAGCCAAAAATGGAGTAGGCTGTAGGATAAACACGAATTTAAACTATAAAGATACTATTTTTACCCGCTCAACTCACCAAAGGGAAGGCAAAACTTCTGGTGGATAAAGTAAAATAACCACATTATCACCACGGTTACAAAGTAGAGGAAAACCAGTTTGCTTTTCAGCCGTATGGACAGCTCCTCGTGCAGCTGCTGTCTATCCTTGTCGAGCATATAATACTTGCAGCACACGAAGGATCCCGCCATGTAGATGGCACACGACATAAACAGGGATAAAGCGATGGCAATGTGAAGCAGTGAGTCGCCATCCACTTGGGCAAAGGTTCCCCAGAGCAGCATAATAAAACTACTGACCGCCAGCAACATGACTATCAGGTAGCCGAAACTTCGGACCGCTTTGGGCAAAGTCCTCCGGTAAAAGCGGAACTGCAACCAGGCATTCGCAATCCAGAAGGGAAACTCCATCCAACATGCAAAGGCCCAAATACTGTGCTGCGACTTGGCAGCCGCCGATGTGGTGGGGAAAAAATTGAAGACATGGCAGGAAGTGTATGTCGTGGCCGCAAAATCCGTGGCAATGGCCATCACCAGGTTGTAGGCCATGCACAAGGGCACTTGCAAAAGTCCAAGGGCCAGAAAAGGACCCACCGGTAAGCGAAAGTGCCGCTGAGGCCCCAAATCCTTCATTGAACTAGGTAGCATCTTTAGTTTATCCTCATGAAAGTGATTCATTTTGGCACAAATAAAAATAATTCGTTTCCTAATTCTCACAGCTTATACTACAAGTAGAATGACAGATTTTACAGTGATATCTTGTTAGTATTAAAAAAAAAAATGTTGCTTGCTGTCAAAATAACCAGCCTAAAGTTTGTGACACATGTGCATATCATACCTTAAAAATCATTTAAGAAATTTCAAAATATTGTATATTAATATTACGAAATGGTATACACAATTTAATTAAAATATTCCTAATTTATCATTTATCCAAATTCAAATAAATACAATTTTATGCTTACAAAGTATTAAAATCCATAAAGCCATTTTTAAATTGCGTTTTGTATAAAAAAGAATATTCTTAAAGCCTTTTTCTTATCCAAGAGCAAGTGTAAAAATATTGCATTACATAAAAGTGGAACACGGTTCGAATTTAACTAGATTCCTTACAAACTTTTTAAGCTTACAATATTATTAAAGAACCATTAAAGAACGTGTGAAAGCCTTAAATAAAAGCGTGTGTAAGCATTAGATCCTGTCATACTGAATCGTTTCCTGTCGGAGTCCTTCGGAAGCGGGTTCCTTTGGTAAAATTAAGTAAACTTTGAGCTTAAGCTAAACACCTCGGCGGCTGGCTGGATGATATGGCGGCGTTGTGGGGATCGACCTTGCAATTGATCTATAATTGTGATAGGTAAAGGCCGTGCTTGGCATCGCATACCACGTTGAGGGCGTAAAAGTCCCAGTAGGATGTCATGTGAAAGCCCATGTTGGTCAGCACTACGATGTACTCGAACAAGGCAAAAAAGGTGTAGACTGTGGAAATTTATATTTCAGTTTAGAGGCATGCGGAACAATGTATCGGCATGCAACCAGAGTAATGGGTAAGGAATAAAATGATTTGAGGATTTTAAAACCATCAATCACTCACCTCCCGCCTCGCAATGGGAATTGTGCCTGACGAAGCAGTAGCCAGCCAATCCAAAGGCCACCACATTCACCAGAAACAGGTTCCTCTTGTATCTAAGTGATTTCTCCTCGTGTGGCAGGAGTACGGTTTTCCGGGTATTCCTATTGAGCAGGTAGGAGACCAGCATATAACACTCGGAACAGGCTATAAACACCACAAAGGCGTTCCTATGCGTTTCATAGTGATCCGCGGAGGTCCAAAATGAGAGGCAGAAAAGGGCCAAGTCCTCGATGACATTCAGGAAGCAGGCCAGGATGCCCAGCAATCGCCGGCTCCTACGGATATGTTCCCTGTAGTGCTCCAGGTAGATTTTGGCCACCGCCAAACGAAGTGGTAAATGCAGGAAGATGGCCAATCGCCAAACGGTTTTCTGCGGCTCATAGTTCCCAATGGCTGCCGAAACGGAGGGCAGATAGTTGGTCACATCGCAGTGGGTGTAGGTGCTCCTCACAAAGTCAAAGGTCAGCGACCAAATCACACAGAAGAAGAATCCTCCGAGGGGCAAACTCAGAGCCACCAGTGCCAGTCTTGAGAAGGGAAGCCGGAAGAAGACGCTTTTGGGATCGTTAAAACGCTCGTATGTGGGCAGCATTTCAACTTTGGAGATTGGGATGGATTGGTTGGGTCTGGAGTCGTTTCTTCAGCGGCTCACGCTCCACATTCTCCAGTTCGTCGGCTCCCAAATAAGCTAATCTCGGTCTTTTCCGCGCACTTTTCTGCTTACGTCGTAAACATTGCGAAAAGAAGTTGTAAACAAGTGATCGATAAACAGCTGGCTATCGACCGAATGGCGGGGGTGGTTAATTATCGTGTTTCCTCAAACACAATTTTTTAAATTAAACTTATTCTTAACGTGGCGCTTATATAAGTGGCCCTTATAGATAAACAGTTTTATCATCAACACTAACGGGGCGGATACTTAATCTGAACGCCAAAATACAACAGCCAACAGTGCTGGTCATTATCGATTTATAAAAGTAGCTATTTGGATTGAAAGAAATAAATTCAAAGCTTGGGGGTTTTGCTTTGTTAACTATTGTTTGATTTAAATAAATCTATTCTAAGTTAACATTTTTTAATAAAAAAGTTTCAGTGATAAAAAAATATTGTTAATATAAATGCATTTTTTGTTATGTTAGCAAAACTAGCTTAGATAGATACTCCGGCTAGACTTCGCTAAAAAATAACCAGGTGTCCAGCCCTATCCACTGCCACCCGCAACCTCAATCGATATCGATAACTTTTCGCCGGCTGCGTGACATCACTAGCAGCAGTAAAACAAAACAACAAGCGCAAAAAAAAAGAGAAACTGCATTGTTTACCAGATTTTAAGGGCACCCGAAACCCAAATTAAATCCTGCCGAGATGGACATCCTACTGGCCAACGTGAGCGGGCTGCAGTTCAAGGCGGAGCGGGATTTGATCGAGCAGGTGGGCGCCATTCCGCTGCCCTTCTACGGCATGGACAAATCCATTGCGGCCGTCTGCAATTTCATCACCCGGAGTGGCCAGGAGTGCGACAAAGGAAGTGCCTGTCCATTCCGACATATTCGCGGCGACAGGACGATCGTGTGCAAGCACTGGCTGCGCGGACTGTGCAAAAAGGGCGACCAGTGCGAGTTCCTGCACGAGTACGACATGACCAAGATGCCCGAGTGCTACTTCTACTCCAGATTCAATGCCTGCCACAACAAGGAGTGTCCCTTCCTGCACATCGATCCGCAGAGCAAGGTGAAGGACTGTCCGTGGTACAAGCGCGGCTTCTGCCGCCATGGCCCCCATTGCAGGCATCAGCATCTCCGGCGCGTCCTGTGCATGGACTATTTGGCCGGGTTTTGCCCCGAAGGACCCGCCTGCAAGCATATGCATCCACATTTCGAACTGCCCCCGCTGGCGGAACTGAGCAAGGACCAGTTGCACAAGAAACTGCCCACGTGCCACTATTGCGGCGAGCTGGGCCACAAGGCCAACTCCTGCAAGCAGTATGTGGGCAGTCTGGAGCATCGCAACAACATCAATGCCATGGATCACTCGGGCGGAGGGCATTCTGGCTACTCCGGTGGTCATTCTGGGCATTCTGGCCATTCCGAGGGCAATGACAATGACAACTCCAACCCCAACAACAGTCACCACAGTCAGCATGGTCCACATGGGCAACATGGTGGACCCGGTGGTGGTGGTGGCGGTTTCGTCAAGGTGCCCACGCCGCTGGAGGAGATCACCTGCTACAAGTGCGGCCACAAGGGACACTACGCCAACAAGTGTCCCAAAGGACATCTCGCCTTTCTCTCCAATCAGCATAGTCATAAGTAGTATCCTCCTCTGCTCTGTATGATTAGATTGTAAGCGAGTGCAGCAAATAAAGGTTGAAAAGGGTTCCGTTCCGGCCCCCAGAAGCCACAGAGATCGAAAGATCCTTACTCCATTGATCATTTCATCCCTGAAAAAAGAGTGTTGGCCTGCATTTTTCAAAAATGTCCTATTAACTGCCAGTAGATTGTATTTTGTTATCAACGAAATAAAATTTTTCATAAGACTTTAAATATATATTATTTTTGAAGAACGTCTTAGATATGTGAGACTTTAGAACGAATTCTTAAGGGCTCTTTTAGTGGAACCGTCATTAGTAAATTAAAAAAATTTAAATAAAGCAACTATAGATATTCATTAAATTTAAAAAATAATTAGTGTGAAAAAATACTTAATTTTATTGAAACTTATTCATGAACAGATATTCAAAAAACTAAGAAAAAATTTTAGAAGCAAAAACACTTAAATTCATAAAAAAATAACAACATACAGAAAATACTTTCAAAAGAATAGGTCTATTATATATGTAACAATCGTTTTATATCTTAGTTTTTAAAATTTCAAATTTTCCTTTAGGCGCTTAGCATTCTGATCCAAGTTTTCCACCAGCCTTGAGTCTCATATTTTAGGTATTCCGAATCCCACAGAAAGATTGATTGGCATGGCAACGGTCACACTGTCTGGATCGAGATTTCAACTCGTCAACAATTGCGCACTAAATTTTCAGTAAAAACAAACAGAGACGAACGTTCCGAGGCATTGAAAACTAGTTTAAATACAGAGCAGCCATGACAATTTTGGGCAAATTGCGGGGGGAGATCACGGACCAGGAGAAGGTGCCACTGCCGATGAACCTCAACGATGAGACGCTGATGCATCATGGCTCCCTAATCGCAGTGAGTTTAGTTTGCATTCCATCCCATTTCCCAGAGAAGATATATGTACATATGTAGCCTCATTTTTGCGCAATCGTTTTGCGAGAGGTGTCCTTGTGTCCAACCCACCCCCTTGTCCTTCTGCCCCCAAAAAAAGCCACAAGTTCTGCCAGGGGGGTGGTGCTCCGAATCGGAATCCGAATTTGCAGCCTCAGCGCAGGCAGAGGCAGAGCTCGACCTGCAGGCCATCGATTTTTCCCCGCTGGAATTCCTTGTCGCCCCCAAATTCCACCACCCACCTCCCCTCCCCCAAATGACGTGTACCCATTCACTTTCCTGGGCTTTCCCCGCCAAGGACTACTCACATTTCTCGAGGTCAGCGGTGGGTCTCTTCCTGTTGCTGGTGGAGATTGCAGATTGGCCCTGACAGCTGGGGTAAACCCAATTTGGGTTGCAATTTCAGATCATACTTTTTGTGTGTGCAGGTTTTGCTCTTTGGCCCCGCACACACAGTGACCTCGATAAGTATGCGAACGTGGAGAGTATCCAAAGAAAGTCGTGTCTTATCAGCTGGCAGTCATACATAAACACTCCCAGCCAATTTGAGTTCTAAACATATTTCCCAATCTCTCCCCCATATCAAGTTTCTACGATAATGCAGCGACAGCAATCAGCTGGCATTGTTCACTTTAATATTTTACTACTGCACAATGATATAAACAATAAAAAGTAAAAGTACAAAAGTAAATTTTAATAAATGATGTTTTGAAAAAATTATTTATCCTAACTTTAAAAGCGTTAAAAAGCTATGCTTTTACATATAACTGTCAATTAAAATTTTTTATTTAAAAAAAAATCTTTTAGACTCATGTATTATTTAGTACATTTTTGTGCTTATTTGTTGTGTTTATAGTTGTACTAAGGTCCACTCTAACTAGCATGCAAACGATTTCAATTGACTAAATGGTTGCAAGGGGAACATTTATTGTTTGACCTATCTGAGAAGTGCTTGCTAACGACGCAGTAAGCGAGTGTTTAAGCAAAGCAAAGGGATGCAGTTTTGATTGTCCTAATCTTAGTTCTGGAAAGTCCCATTTATTTTACATAGCACCCAGTAAAGAAGTATTGTTCAGCAAAGGCAACTTTTGGACTTATAGAATTTTCCTTTGAGTCAGCTTATTTATTTATTCGTTTTGCCGACGACTTTATCGCTGTTTTTATGACTGTTCCATTGGGAAACAATAAGTATATCTTGATAAGGGGGGAACACAAGAAGGCTTTTAGCGTATTTTGTTAGATTTTTGTTTTGTCTTTTATAAAGATTGTAGTTTTTTTTAAATATATTTTTTACAGTTTGAGGAGTATTATTTTAAACCTAACCAATTTGTTCTTATTTGTATATCAAATTCCAAATAAAATTGTTTTTATTTATATAAAATCGATATAAGGTCATAATTTGTATAAAAAAGTCTGTTAAGAATTGCTTTTCGTTATATTATTTTTTTTTTTTTAATTTTGAATGAAAAATCTATATAAAATTTAATTGAAATTATTTCGCCCATGGGCACTATCCCCAAAAAATGTATAAATTCACCTTATTTAAACCCCAATTTCCCATTCACAGCCCAAGGTGGCTTACAGCGACAATGAAGCCGATGCGGAATCGATGGTCTTCAATAGGCCCCAGCACCATTGCCTCAAGTCCTTTCTGCTGTTCCTGATCGCCGTGGTCGTGATGCTCCTGGGTGTGTTGGGCGGATGGACCCTATATCGCGTATACGCCCCATCGCACGGAAGCATGAGGTACCACGCCCTGTGCGAGATTCCCTATCCAGAGGACTCGATGGAAATGGCGCGTGTGTATCCACGCTCCGATGGACCCTTCGCCTTGAACTGGCGCTCCCTGCTGCCCGACTTTGGACCCCCGATGACAAACAGTGAATCCCTCGATGACAACTACTTCCGCGAGGACATCGAGCTGGATGGCGATAGCGATGAGGAGGGATACGCCCGTGTGGACGTGCCCGACTTCAAGGATGGACGGCGAGGTCGTTTCATGCACGACTTCAAGGAGAATCAGTCGGCCATTATCGACACCACCACTGGCAGGTGCTTCATCATGCCCTTGGATCGGGATACCACTCTGCCGCCCACCAGCTTTGTGGATCTCATGAAGAAGATGAGCACTGGCTACTACAACATCGATACGGAGCGCGTTCGGCGCCAGATGCGCGTGGTGACGCCCCGCATCACCGATCTCTCGCTCATCTCGGAGCGAATTGCCAACGAGTGCTACGACATGAAGGTCTACATGATGGAGAAGTTCGTCTCGGGCAGTAAGTTTCCCCTTACTTATCATTGATTGTTATGCTTCATCGTTTACAACTAGACTAAGAGAGCAAATCACTAGATAACTCTCGTTTTTTAATTACCTATCACTGATGGCATGCTGCATCGTTTACAAACAGATTCAGAGAACATTTCACTAGATTACTCAAGCTTTTACCCTGCTTGAAAACTAATTGCACGCTTCATCGTCTACAACCAGATTCAGAATACATTTCACTAGATTACTGTAGCTTTTACTTGACTTAACACTAAATGCATGGTTTCATCATCTTCAACCAGAAACATTTCAGTTAATTACCCTAGCTTCTACCCTGACTAATAACTGATTGCATGCTTCATCGTCTAGAACCAGATTTAGGGAACCTTTCATTAGACAATGCATTTGCATGCTTCATCGTTTACAACCATATTTAGGTAACATTGAACTAGACAACACTAGTTTTTGCCTTAGCAATTACCAATTGCATGCTTCATCGTCTACAACCTTATACCTTATACCCTTTTCCTTTGCAGTTTCGAAGAGATCGGCTGATCCTCTGCCTGATTCCGGCAAGTACGCCGAGTTCATGGGCAAGGGAGTCATCGAGTACGATTTGGCCAATATTGCCGAAGTGGAGGCCTATGAGGCAAATGAGGCTAACCAACGGGCCTGAGCATCCAGAGAGGAGGATCTTTTAAGCTACAACACCCCATATTGAATACACAACCTAAAGAAATTATTACTTAGAATCGATTTATACATATAGCGAAGAGAAGCGATGAGATCTGTTCGAAGCCATGCCTAGAAGTGGTCTAGATCTGGTTTAACACTGGTTAGCAGGACACGTGCACCCCACTCCGGGTGGATATATATCATCATTGGCCAAGTTAAGCGAATCATGGACGACGACCCTAGTAAAGAAGCGTAACGAAAATGTACCTAGAACGCAATCAAAGCGATCGACGAAATTGTGACAAATACGAGCAATGTATTAGCCTCGGGTGCGGAATTAAAATTGAGAAGAGATTGGATCAGATTAGAGATTGCTACAACACACACACACTCACACAGACACACTGCGGCATTCCAAGTACATATTTTATATATATGCTCTTAAACTATTCTAACAATTAATGTATAGAACGGATTCAGATCGAAGCTATTTACATGGAAAAACCAAAACCAAAAACCCAACCAGGAAAAACCGAAAGAGGAACGGAAACTATCAGCATGCGTCGAGTGGGAGAGAAACAAATTAATCTAAATGTTCTTTAAAACTACTTAAATGTATTAAACGCGAATTTGTGATCTTTAGCCGTTTTCTTTTTATTGGCGGGCTTAACATGTTTCTCCTTCATTAGAATACTAACAAAAACATGTTTCTTTCGACTAGCATATATTTAAACTTAAATTATTATTATTATTTTAAACAGATACTATTAACAATAACAATTTCACGGTTAAATCTAGAAGTAGGCCTTGCAGAGAGCAATAGTGTGATCCACTCCGTAGGCAACTTTGGTAACTTTACCATTGATGGCCGCCTTGAAGGGGAAGAACTGATCCTTTTTGTGTCCCAAGCCCAGATGACCGAATCTATTCTTTCCCCACATGAAGAGATCTCCATCCGAGTTGACAGCGCCCATGTGAAAGACTCCGCATCCAATGGAAACCACCGAAGTCGCGTTGCTAAAGTCATTCCTTCCAAAGAGCGGCGGCAAGAGATGCTGTGGCTTGGAAGTTTGCTCCACAAAAGATCCAAAACCGAGGATGCCAAAGCCCCAGGTGTAAACCAAACCCTGATCATTGAGGGCCATGCAAAAGGATCCGCCTGCAGCCACATCCTTGATCTTGCCAATGGATTTGGTTAGCTTGAGAGCTCTGGGTACATTTATTTGGGTCTGCGCATGTTCAGAGTCATCCAGCTGTCCATACTCCGAGTTGCCCCATCCGAAGGCATCGCCTGCTTCGTTCAGGGCCAAAACGCAATCCGATGAGCAGCTTAGTCGCACAATTTTCTCCTTTTCTATGTCGCCGCCTATGAGGGTTATCTGCCCGGCTGTGTGGTAATTTCCCTGGCCAGTCTGACCATCTGCACCCCAACCGCAGGTGTGAACCCGACCGGTTTTGGTCAGGAACATGCTGTGATCCTGTCCGCATTCTACCTGGACTATTTCATCATCCTTGCCGCATATATCTTCCTGCGGAATTCTGTGGATTAGGGCACTCTTGCTGTAACGCTCCTCCTCGATGATAGAGCGACCACACTGCCCATAGGAGTTGTTGCCCAATGTGAAGATGGTTCCGTTTCTGGTCAGGATCACCAGATGAGCTCTTCCCGCTGACATGCTCTTCACCTGCATATCTTCATCCGATTCTCCTTGCACTCTGGGTAGTTTTATGGCTGTGGGATAGATGATCACATCCAGATTGGCTGGATCCTTCGGATTACCCTTGACTTGGAAACCCAGTTGGGAATCCGTGTTTAGGCCGCTGCCAAAAAGTGTCTCCCCGTCGTCTCTTTTTACGGCGTAGGCTGTGAACCCGTAACCTGCCGCCACATCCGTAATATCATTATTGTTGGAGAATTGCAACCTAGTGGGATGATGAACCATCTCCGTGTAGCGTTCCTTGGCTTTCTTCACATTGGTTTGGAGGCCCAGAGCTCCAGTTTCCTGGAATCCCCAAACGTAAACGCGGTTCTCATGGCTGTCCGTGGTTTTCGGGGTGTATTCCTTGATTTTTGACTTATCCTGGGCCAGAACTACCCGCTTGGCCTTTGCTGTATATGATCTGCTGATCCCAAGACCAATTTTTCCGGCTTTAAGCATGGTTTAACAGCTAAAATTAATATATCAGGTAATTCAATCAAAACAAACCAGAAATAGTGTTGCAAAATACCATTGCTCACCCATCGATAGGAGAGATGGAAAAACATCGATGGCGCCCCGCCAAACATCGATGAAAGCGATGTTTTGAAAACATCGATGGCATCGATGTTGGCATCGATTGCTCTAATCGAAATCGGATGGGCGAGTGAAAGAAACGGCTCCGGCAAAATCATTAAAAATTAATTAATTAACCGCAAATCAGCGCTCCAAAAGTGTGCAAACAACTCGGTATTAAAAGTAATTAACGCGTGCGGTTATTAGAGGACTCGAAAATCGTTAAATTCCCAGGATTTGTGTGTTTTTCCACTCGCCGCAGCAGCATATGTACACACACACACGCGCACCCCCGCCCCAAACACACACACACACACTCGGAAATATATATATGTATATATATAATATTATAATTAAAGTTGTGTTTTAAAGTGTGTGCGTAAAGTGCAATAGCCCAGTGGAAAGTGGAAGTGAAATAGAGTGTGGTGTTCCAGGAGTTCCAGCAGTTTTGAGTGTCGTCTTAACACACATGTCTTCCCATTTGCTGCTGGCTTTTCCAAGGGCTGGTGCTAAGGGTTAAGGATTGAGGATAAGGACACACGGATAGCGGATACGGATACGGATAAGGAGTGCCAGGCGGAGAATCAGGAGGAATATAGGAGTTGTCCAATCGCTTCGTCTCCGGTAGGTACACACAAAATATTCGGCTGCTCCTTTTTAGCTCCTGTTTGTGGCCTCTCTCGAAAATCTCTCATTCATCTCTCTCTCTCTTGCCTCTCTCTCTTTGGTCCTGCGCTTTCTCTCTCTCACCACCTGGTGGTGCGTAGTCCTTTTGGTCCACCACCCCTGGTGGGTGGCGGTGCTGCAACCCTTAACCCTCGGCTTCCCATCACCTTTTTTTTGGGTAACCATGGTCGTGTGTTTACCGGTAACTGTGCCACCAAAAGTGCTAGTGTTCTGAAGTACCTTTACAGTACCATTAATAGTTACCTTAATAAATATCTGGTACTTTTTTCCCTCGAACCTTTTGTTCCTCAGAGAAGAATTTCATACGAATATAAAGTTATCCTTGGTTTAAGATTATATTTATATTGTATATTTAAATTGATGTAACTTAGTTGTGTGCCATCAAAAGGGCTATTGTTAGAGAGTACCTTCAAAATTGTGCCCTAATAAATACCAGGTACTTTTTTGCCCAACTCAGATATCAGATAACTTAGTACTGTGCTGATAGTTTTAAAGATGATTGACACAATATTTAAATTGATTGAATTGGCACAATTGATTTTCATTTAATCCTAGTCTATGGTTCTGAAAAAATCTTAAAATTTTTACCCATGTACTTGCACACTATTTAGGTACAACAAGACGCATAGCTTTCCCAACACTGGCCATGAGTCCTGCCCTCTAACCTCACTCCCATTTTTAAGGACAAGAAGCCGACCCTCTCGCTGCCGAAAATCCACCACCTCGCAGAGATTTTGCGCAGCATCTCTGGGCACGGCCGGCAAATGTGACAGACTCCCTCGGCAACAATCCCAAAAAGTAGAAAAAGTAAAACAAAGCCGAAAACCGAAAACGAAACCCCATTCGAATCCCATTCCCCAGCAAAAGTATTTACTTAATCAACTTGGGGAATGGAGTTGCGGCCCAAGAGAATGAGTGATCTTATGTAAACAGGGGCGCCCTTTGCCTCCCACGACACCAGATAAGAGACTGCTCCACACAAATGGCCCACTTTCAGTTCCTCCATTTCTTCCCTACCCCCACCCATCCAAGTCGTAACTCAATGTTATAGACCCAAATGCTCTCATTTCGGGGGCCACCAATTTGTTTATGATGGTTTTCGGGGGCTAGTAGCTGGTGGCTACTACTCCCTCGCCTGGAACCGATCTTCGGAAAACAATGGAGGGGAAAGAAAACTTTCCGCCTCATAAACTCATAGGCTTGTCCCGTCGAGCACGTGCAACTCTTTCATTTTTCAGCACTTCCCTCTTTCTCTCAAATAGACGAAATGTTGTCAAGAAAACAATAAACGAATGCACAGAAAAAAATATCTTTTGAATGCAGAAATTTTTCAACTGTCATGCTATATGAATCATATTTTGAAGTTTCTGTAAACAGCAATGGAATGTTTAAAGTTAAAAATATAACAATGTTTATTTCATATCAGAATCAGACTTAACTTATCAGTTTAATTCAAGTTCATATCATATAAATAACATATGTTTGTATATTTGATAGTTGCAAAGATAAAAGTTGCTTACATACTCTTTCTACTATTAGTATCAACTTAATCTTATCTATTTACTTCAAAATCATATCATTGGTATATTCAACTTTACAAATTCCACCCGATTTCTGTGATTCTCTATCACCAGTGTAATGTCAATGTCTTGGGCTTATGCAAGCGCAAACAATAACAAAACAATTGCCAAGCCAGAAAGAAGAAAATCCAAATCCAACGGTGGTGCAGTTCAGTTCATTGGCAGTCAGCCAGCCAAGCGTTTCATGTTTACCAGGGCCTCCTCCTCCTCCTCCTCCTCCTCCTCGTACTCGTACTCGTACCGCCCCCTTATCACTCGAGCATTTGCACAAACATAATCTTTTTTGGGTTCTTTCTCCGTAGCTATCTGGGTTCGGTTACGGTTTCACTCCCCGCTTTCTCCGCTCGACAAAAAATGAAAACACAAACAATAGCAGGCAGTGAATCACTTTGTGACCAGTTCCTCCACTTCCTCATAAACAGGGTTTTTTCCCGAATTAAACAACCTTTGACTAATCGATAGTAAAATAAACAATTAAACGAAAACTTATATGCCTTATATTTTTTGGTTTGTTAATCTAGAACTTGTAGTCTTTTGTTTCCAAATAAACAAGGCGTTTTCCCTTATCTCAGTTTGAAGACTAATCGGCCGAAAAGTAAACAAACGAACTTGTTATCAAATTAATATTATTATGACTACATTTTAGGCAGGAAGTTCGCTAAATGTTTTAACAAGAATTTGTTAGAAGCTTTCGTTTAAAAAGTGTTTCTTTATATGGGTTCCAGGAATTATAATGAGAAATACTTATAGCTAAAAATCTAAAAATAAACATTTTCAGCTCAATCAGTTTGTCATGTTTGTTTATGATCTAACAACATCCAAACTTCTCTCACTTGCCATAGAAAAGTGAAACCAAAACGGCTTAGATTCAAAGCCCCAGAAGAGCGTTTTCTTGGCTTGTGGCCGACACTTATTGATTTTTAATTATCCCAAGATGGCCCTTGGCTATGACATTGACTTTGATTTTTGCTGCCTTGGCCAATGAACCCATCGCCGTGTTGCTCTTCAGAGATCTCTGGCCCGAACAAGCAACCTTCTTTGCCGCCTGCTAACCGCCTTATGTCACTCGACAAATCTCGGCCAAGAAACCAATTTCCCAATACCGCCAACAATTCCCGTTCGTGACTCATTGCGGTCGAATGTGTCAGTTGTGTTTTCTGTGTCTTGTTTGTGTCTTTCTTGGCCTGAAATGGAGGCGAGATTTCGGTTCTGCAACCTCCGAGTAAACAAATCAATGGCCGATGGGCCACTCATTCGTTCGCCTGGCAATTGGATTCAATTGAGTGGAGTCAGGCATCGGAGGCAACTTTCACTTGCACAGATTTTAATTGCTTCGCAACTGGAATGGCCAGATTCCCTTCCCCTCTCTGCAAACCATCATTATTATTATCATCATATAAACACACTCCACTTCATTCATTCATCCTCATCATCGCCGGCTCGCTGACCCCAAAAACAAACATTCATCTCTCGGCTAATTTTTGAGTTGGTTTTCCTATTTAGTATTTAGTATTTCGTGTTTGAGTACTTGCATTGTATTTTTTAAACTAATCATTTTCACGCTTCTTAGCTTCTTGAGTGCTAAACAATTAAACATAATTTTATTATATCATTTGCTCTCTTCTTTCTTTCTTTCTTTTCATTCACTTTGCTTTATTGCGTTATGTTTACGTTTGCCACGCCTACGCTGCCTTGCGCCCCCATCATGACCACGCCCCCACAGCAATTATGCATTGGCTAGAGGCGATTTGCAGCAAGCTTAGAGTGCCAGCAGCGAGCAGCTGCAATACATAACCACCACCAAACGATCACCATCAAAAAAAAGACTTCATCAAACTCCAAGTCCACCACCAACAACAACAACAACCTCTTGCCTCCAGGAGCAGTCCTTACCAGGAGCAGTCCCAGCTGGAGGAGCAGGAATCCCCCCGCGGCGGAGGAGCAGCCAGTCTGGAATGTTGGAACACCCCCAGCGATTTGTGCGCAACATCCCCGACTCCTCAGCCAGTTCGCAGCAGTATTCGCAGCAGCATCCGCCACAGCTGCCGCAACACCAGAATCTGAATCTGAATCTTAATCAGAATCAGAATCCGAATCTGAGTCAGAATCAGAATCTGAATCAGAACAACCAGATCTACCAGTACCGTCCCCAGGTGCCAGTGCCCGTGCCAGGATCACCTGCCCACCATCAGCGGCACTCGTCGCTCTCTCAGCAGCAGCAGCAGCAACAACAGCAGCAGCAGCATCAGCAGCAGCAGCTACATCACCACCGCACCCTGTCCACCGCCTCCTCCTGCAGCGCCCAGCACAAAAGTGTGACCTTCGGACAGCCAGCGCTCGACTGCGGCGGCAACGGCAGCGGCAGCGCCAACGGAAGCGGTAGCGGCAACTCCTCCAGTGGCAGTGCCGCCGGCAACGCTGGAACCCAACCAATGGCGGGCAACATGAAGCACGGTGAGCTGCTAGTACACACTCTATACAATATTAACAGAGGAGCAAAATGGGGTAAAACCAGGATTTAGGGATTCTAAAACTTCATGACACAAGTCAATTAAATTCTTAGGAAGTAACAATTAAGTATAATCTTGGTTTTGAGTCTATACATACATACATTTTTTTGTACTAGGTCATGAAGTTATAATCCCTATTGTCTTGGTTTTCTCACTCAATACACTCTATACTTTTT